TCAGCTCTGTGCTCATCCGGGAGGAAGACGGCATCCAACATGCCATCTTCTACGTTAGCAAGACCTTAAGGGAGGCCGAGCTCAGGTACTCCCCTGTGGAAAAAACGGTGTTAGCCATCGTTTGGACTGTCAAGAAGTTGGGCCACTACTTTCAGGCTCACCCGGTTCAGGTCCTCACCCATCAACCCCTCGGCGCCCTCATGAGGAGCCCCACCAGCTCCTCCCGCATGGTGAAATGGGCTATCTTCTTGAGTCAGTACAACATTGACATCCGTCTAAGGCCTGCCATCAAGGGCCAAGCCCTGGCGGACTTTGTGACGGAATGTACCGCAAGGGCAGCCACGGACGGGGAGCCCTCGGCTACCTCGGACGACTGGTGGACCCTCTACACTGATGGCTCCTCCGCGACCAAAGCATGCGGGGGAGGGGTAGTCCTCATTACTCCCGAGGGCTTCAGGACCTACAATGCAATCCGCTTCTCCTTCAAGGTCTCCAACAATGAGGCCGAATATGAAGCCCTCCTATGTGGCCTTCGGCTGGCTGCCAACATGAGGGCTCGGCAGATCCACATCAAATGCGACTCCAAGTTGGTCGTTGGCCAAATCTCCGGAGAATATGAGGCCAAGGAGGGGAGAATGAAACAGTACAAGGAAGCGGCCAAGGAGTTGCTTAAGGTATTTGAGGCACACTCTCTCACTCAAATACCGAGGGCTCAGAACTCCGAGGCCGACATATTATCTAAGCTCTCGGCAGACTCCCCCGAGCACATCTCCAAAATTGCCAAGATCGGGGAACTCAGCCTCTCAAGCATCCATGCAAGCCCCGTTATGAACATACAACAACGTCAGGAGGATTGGATCTCAGATATCACCGCCTTCATCTCCACAGGGCAGCTACCCGAGAATGAGGCCCCCGCTAAACTGGCAAAGCTGAGGGCTCCTAGCTACACCATCGAAGATGGGAGGCTCTACAAACGATCTTACAATGGCACGCTACTTCGGTGCCTTCATCCAGATGAAGCCGAGGTCGCAATGGAGGAAGTGCACAGTGGCACTTGCTCAGCTCACCAGGGACCCTTCTCCATGTCCCGAAGGCTCATTCTCCAGGGCTACTTCTGGCCAACCATGGCCAGGGATTGTGCTGACCTTGCCCGGAGGTGCACCGCATGTCAACATTTCCAGAAAGCCCCCGGCAGGCCAACGGTCAACTATGCCCCCATCAGCACATCTGTCCCTTTTTCTCGATGGGGGATAGACCTTGTGGGCCCTCTGCCGAGGGGTACCTCCAACAACAGGTACATCATTGTGGCCGTCGACTACTTTACCAAGTGGGTGGAGGCTGAACCCCTCGCCAGCATCACAGAGGCAAAGTGTCGTCGCTTCGTCCTCAAGAACATCCTCACAAGGTTTGGCGTCCCCCAGCAGATCATCTCCGACAATGGGACACAATTTGAGGCAACCCCCTTCTGTGCCCTTCTGGAGGCATGGGGCATCAAACACAACTTCTCCTCCGTTGCCTACCCTCAAGGCAACGGGCAAGTAGAGAACGCCAACCGGACCTTGCTCGAGGGCCTCAAAAAGAAGCTGGAGGCCGAGGGCGGTGGCTGGGTAGAAGAACTCCACAACATCCTTTGGGCCTATCGCACCACCCCTCGGCGAGCAACAGGTGAAACACCCTTCTCCCTCTGCTACGGTTTTGAAGCCAAAGCCCCTACGGAAGTCACCCTTCCCACCCGAAGGGTGATCCAATATGACCCCGAGGTCAACGACAGCAACATGGCCCTCGACCTCCACCTCATTTCAGAACGCCGGGAGCAGGCCTTCATCCGGGCAGAAAACTACCAAAGGCAAGTTAAAAGCTACATCGACGCCAAAGTTCGAACCCGAGAATTTCAAGTGGGGGACTATGTCCTCCGGAGGAGGGAAGCCAGCCAACCAACCGAGGGGGGAAAAAAAATGCACCAAAATTCGAAGGCCCCTACATCATAGCAGCCATCATCAAACCCGGGACCTACAAGCTCAAACGCCCCAATGGGAAAGAAGTCCCTAGGCACTGGAATGTACACCATTTAGTTAAATTTTATCAATAATGTAAGAGCGGCCAAGCCCTCATAACTAGTGAATGTACTATCCTATGGCCCAAGGCCTCCAATTTCGAAGAATGAAGATACATTCAAAACATCAAGCCCTCATACTGACTACAGGCCCCAGGCCTCACCACGAGAAGAACCCCCTCCGGCACCAAGTGCCGAGGGCGGACACCATCAACACCTACAACAAACAGTGAAAACACCACGTGTTTCCAGTCAAGACCCCTCGGCACCCAGTGCCGAGGGAGGAAACTCCTATCACCAACAACAAGGAACGCCATGTGTTTCATTTCCCTTCGGCACCCAGTGTCGAGGGTACATTCCCACCTTCAACATCAAAAAAGAAGAGATGAGAACACCAAGTGTTCCTACAGAAGACCCTTCGGCACCCAGTGCCGAGGGTACACCTCCATCATCAAACATCGAAATGAAAAAAAAACACCAAATGTTTCAAAGAAGACCCCTCGACACCCAGTGCCAGGGATATGCTCTCCTATCAACTTCCAAACATCTGTTGGGAAACATCAAGTGTTTCATTTGAAGACCCTTCGGTACCAAGTACCGAGGGTAGACACCTCCATCAACTACAACAAAGAGAACACCAAGTGTTCCTACAGAAGACCCCTCGGTCCCAAGTACCGGGGGCTACACATCGAAACTAACACCAAGTGTTGTTTCTAAAAGCCGTACCCCACGAGGACGCATATACCGAAGGCGCCACCATCGGTGCCGGCGGCACGTAGTGCCCCCGGCCATTTGCAACTAGTGTGCAAATGAAAACCCTTCCTTGAAACGCTTTCCGCGTCACTACCCCCAGGGTATGACAGGCATGAGAAATGCCCAGGATTCGACTTTCAAAAACGGAACGCTATCCGCGTCACTACCCCCAGGGTATGACAGGCATGAGAAATGCCCAAGATTTGACTTCCAAACCGAAACGCTCCCCGCGCCACCACCCCAAGGGTGTGGCAGGCCGCGGACTATGTCTAGCGCCGAGGGGACGACTTTCAAAAATGAGGCGCTTTCCACGCCATCCCCCAAGGGGAGGCAGGTTACGGACCACCATATCTTGTGCCCAGGAAACGTCTCTCGATCCCCTCGGAACTCGGAAGGTTAACCCGAGGGAGGAGAGCCATTGGTGTATTCTGATGGTCTCCTAATAGGCCCAGCCTTACCAAGAAACCAAGTTTCTTGATGCCTTCCCTTCACCACCAACCAAAAAAAAAAAGAGGGGGTGAAGGGGAGTAGACTCAGCGAGAAATCAAAGAGTACACTCCAACAGATCACAACATGCCGAGGGCTCCCCACGGGAACACCTCCGGTAATTGAAGGCTCCTATTTCCCGAAGGATACCACTCAAACAAATATCATCAGGAAACGGCTAAGGCCACTACCTGGTCACCTCCGGACACCCAGGCGCCGAAGGCACACACTCCTCATTGGTCGAAATGTACACCTTTTAAAAATTATGCCGAGGGCACACACTCCTCATTGGCTTTCTTCACAACAACAGGATTCAACATCAACTTACGCAAAGTAAGGTAGAGTCAGAGGGCACCTATCACCCGAAGGCTACACAAGGAAACAACACTTGAAAAAATTCTAAGTCCTAAAGATTGGCCCCCCGGCCCAATCAGCATTACAGCCAAGGGAATATGGTAGCCGAAGGTCATGCAATACAACAACACTTGAAAAAATATATTCTGTCCTAAATGAGCAGCCCCCGGGCATCTGGCAAAGTGATGTGGAGTCAGAGGGCACCTATCACCTGAAGGCTCCCAAGGAAAAATCTACACTTAGAATATTTTCTAAGTCCTGCATATTTTCCCCCCGGTCAACTACTCTTGCATCAAAGAGGGATGCCATCTCCCGAAGGCTCTTAAGGGAAAATCTACACTTAGAATATTTTCTAAGTCCTGCATATTCCCCCCCCCCCCCCGGTCAACTACTCTTACATCAAGGAGGGATGCCATCTACCGAAGGCTCCCAAGGGAGATTTTACACTTAGAATATTTTCTAAGTCCTACATTCTTTTCCCCGGTCAACTACTCATACATCAAGGAGGGATGCCATCTCCCGAAGGCTCCCAAGGGAGATTTTACACTTAGAATATTTTCTAAGTCCGGCATATTTTCCCCCCCGGTCAGCTACTCATACATCATGGAGGGATGCCACCTCCCGAAGGCTCCCAGGGGAAACTCTACACTTAGAAGATTTTCTAAGTCCTACATATTTCACCCTCATCTCGAGGGACCTAATTGCTGAAGGCTACCTATCAATCGAGGGCTACAGTTCACAAGGAATCAACAATCAAGAAAATTTTCTAAGTCCTAAAGAATTGGCCCCCGGCCTATTCAATATTTCAGTTGGGGCTCCACAGTAGCCGAAGGCTACATGGCATACTACACTTGCAAAAAATCTCTAAGTCCTGTGCATTGGGCCCTCGGTCCAACATTCACACATCAGGAAGGGACGCCGTATCCCGAAGGCTCTCAAGGGGGAATCCACACTTAGAAAATTTTTCTAAGTCCTAGGAATTGGGCTACCACAAACACCCGAAGGCCCCATGCTGTGCTACACTTAGAAAAATTTTCTAAGTCCTAATTCCTGCTGAACCCTCGGTTCATATCCAGCAGAGGGTGCCCAACTACCGAAGGCTTCCAAGGGCAAGTTACAATCGAAAAATATTCTAAGTCCTAAAACATACATTCAAGAAGTAGGAGGCATACATTCAAAACATAAGGCGCATTCAAATGTAAAAAGCCCGGGGGCAGCATGCATTCATCAAAAACAGAGTAAGTGTGAAATTTACAAACAGGCCGAAGCCGAAGGATCAAAGTTGTTCATTACAAAATATGTTCAAGGATTTTTAAATACAAAGTCACTCTACAACTACAACAGCATCATTCACCGGGGCGCCCTCTGCAGCCGGCCTCGATGATGCCTCCGCTCCGGTCTCGACAGCGTCGTCCTCGGCCTCATTCTTCAACTCCGTGTCCTCAAGGTCGGGCCTCTGAACACCTTCCGGGAGCGACTCACGGACATCAGGCTGCAGGGGAGGAAGGCCATACGCCGAGGGGGAGAAGTCCTTTTGCTCAATGCCCAAATGTCGGGCCATCCTCTGGTAGATGAGGGCCTGGGTGAAGAATTCACCGGCTTCATAGTACTCTCTGCCCTTCCGGGCCATCCATTCCCACCCAGGGCCCTCGGCCCATTCCTCGACGTGTGCCTCCACAACCGAGGACAGCCACATCTTGCGTCCCTCGGCCCTCCAGCCCTCGGCGACGAAGGCATCAACGGCTTCCTCCCGAGCCTTGGCGACGGCCAGCGCCTTGGAGTCCTCGGCCTCTTTGGCAGCCCTCCTGGCCTCCTCAGCAGCGGCCTCAGCGTCAACTTTGCCTTTCTCTGCGGCCTCCAGTCTCTGCTCCATTTGCCGAAGCTCCTCTTCCAGCCTGGCCCCCAGCTTCACCGCCTCTTTATTTTTGAGGATGCATTCTTTCATCTTGGCATCCTGCTCGGCTTTATGGAGGCGCCATTCTTGAAGCCTCCGGGCATGTTCACCGAGGGCTAGACAAGCCTGCAGACCAACAACCAAAATGGTTAAAAACAATTGCACAATATAATCAAAGGAGAAAAGGAGGAAAGCTGAGTAAACACTTACAGAAAGGGAGGAGCGGAGGATGTGGTCCTCGAGGGCCGCATCGTTATAGGCCCCGAGGGCAGCCCTATCAGTCTCAGGGGTTATGCCCCTCAAGATGGCCCCCGGGTCGACAGCGCCGCTGGCCAGGGATGTCCCCCTCGGGAACGAGACTTGGAGGACCTCAGGCAGCAACTCCTCTGCCCCCGCCGGCGTTTCACCCGACGGCTTCTCCACATGCACCCCGGAGGCGGGGTGCTCATCAGCGATAATGACCAGGGGCTCCTTCTCGGCGACATCCCCCTTCTTCGGCTTTTTGGTAGCCGGGGGGGACCCCTTGGTCGCTGCCTTCCTCTTGCCGGCAGCGGCATCGCCCTCGGCTTTCTTAAAGAGGGCAGTGGCGGGCTTCTGGATGCCCTGTCCCGACCCCTTCGGGTCCTGTTTCTTCAGACGAGCAAGGCCCTTTACGTTCACCATAGAGACGGGGATACCTGCACAAAGGAGACAAAGGGTTAGTCCGACGGGTCTAAGAGAAGGGACAATAACATCCAAGCAAAAAAAAAAACTAAGTACAAAATTCTAAAGCCCTCGGGTCCTACCTCCGGCCCCTCCGAAGGCCTTGTTGAAGGGAGGGTACTTTTCATCGGTCTCCCCTATGAAGCGGTACCTCCGGAACCCGAGGGTGTATAAATCCTCCTCGAGGGTGCAGTCTTTGATCGCCACGTTCTTATTTTTCCCCTCCGGGAACTTGGCCAGCTTTAGGCCGTCTTTCTCGAGAGCGGCACTCCTGATCTTTTCGTGCCTTCGGAATCGATCACGCAGCTCCCTCGGGAATGGGCTCTCATCCAACTTTACGTAGCACCAACGTTCCCTCCATCCTTTGTTGGAAGAAGGAGCATCAGAGAATAGTTTGAAGCGGGCAATCTGCTGCAGGTTGGCGTACCCCTCGCCGTTTTCGTGCCCCCCCGGCACAAATTAAAGCTCTGGAAGAATAGATCCAGGCTGGGCTTCACCCCTCGGGACTTGCAGAGCTGGAGGAACCCCGCAATGTAGGAGTGGCTGTTGGGCGTGAGTTGGCAGGGGACCAAGCCAACAAACCTCAAATATTCCCGGAGGAATGGGTGCATAGGGAACCTAAGTCCCATGGAAACCGAAAGGACGTGAATAGCGATACACCCCTCGGGCGCCCTGGACAACACGTCGTCGGGACCTGGCTCCACCACTTCGGCCGAGGGCCCCACGTGCAGCTGAGTCACGTACAGATCTGCCCTGTCAGCCTTCGACCTGATCTCGAGGGCCTCAGTGTTCAGCCAACTGTACCCCTCGGGCATGTCCACGGGCTTTCCTTGATCGACGGCCCTCTCCTTCTTCTTGGTAGCGGCCTTCTTCTTCTTCAAACCGGAAACTGCCCTCAGAGGTATCGGATCCAACGGCCTCGAGCTACTGGCCTCCCCGGAACCCCGAGGGGGGAGAACAGCAATCGTAACCCTCGAGCTCTCATTCTGTGCCTCATCCTCCGCTGTTTGCCATGCGAGGGCTAAGTCTTCATCCTCGCACTCCTGCTCGAAGCCCTCGGCTTCGACCTCCGCAATGAGTTCCTTCTGGACCTCCCGGGCCAGGACGGCATCAGCACCGTCCGAGGGCTGGCCACTGCTGGACTCCACGTCGGAGATGCCCTCGTCCTCCATCGAGGGCGTCCTCGAGATGTCCTGAGAGTCACTCTGAGACGACATTCTATCTCTAGCTCGAGGGTTCGGGGGAACTAAGGTTTCTAGTGAATTCTATCTCCTAAACCGAGGGCGCAACGTACAGCTATACTAGAAGGAGAAAGGCAGGGAGCACTGACCTCGAAAGCTGAGTTAGGACCGAAGGCTTGAGTTTCTCTCACTAGATTTTTTGGCAGAGCTTCGCTAAGACAACTGAGTTCGCACAGGGGAAATGGCTCTGGCCTTGGGGTATTTATATGCGATGAATCCGGGTTTGGGCCTGGATTCCGGGCCTCCGGACGGACCGCCATCATTACACACCGCCGTTTCACCCAACCGGTGACGCCGCCCACGAACAGCCAGCCATCACACGCCACGTGTGCCACCCCCCAACGGCTATATCCTGTCGTTACATATTCCAACGGCTATATTTCCAACGGCTATATTCTGGAAGCCCCCGGGTTTTCTACTTCACTCCACTTCATCAAGGATAGCCTCCGGGTGCACTCACCCAGAAGTGCCCCCGGGTTGTGCCCCACACAGCACATTACACACGCCTTCGGGATCACTCCTTCAGAAACCCAGGGCTTCATATCAGGACACCCCCTCGGGGATTCCCCCTCAGCACTGCAAAACCGGGTAGCCCCCGGGGAGTTGCCTCATTGACGGATGACCCACGGCTCACAGGTAATGGGAGCCCTCGGGTATCTTCATCACCAACCAATCAACAAACAGTGGACCCCCCGGTAACAACTCCACTGCTGCCTTCATCTGGCAGGCCCTCGATCCCTGGATTGAGGGGCTCCCTTCGGCGCCACCAGGACATCAACAGCAAGCCTTCGGCTAATCAACACAGGAGCCCTCAGAAGAGAGAGCCTTCGGCATTCCCGTCATTCTCCATTTTTTACCAAGGTTTGACATTTTTGATTCATCATTGGGGGAATTCGGTGCACTCTTTTTCCCTCATTAGGATTTTTTCCCAAAGGGTTTTTCCTAATGAGGTTTTTAACGAGGCATCCTCCCAAAATGAAACGAAAAGCGTCAGCCTTCGGCCCACAACAGCAACATAACTACTTTACTCCTTTTCACCACTCTACAAGTGCCTCAAGGAGTGGGGGACTGGAGGACCCCCTCGGGAAAATCATTAAATTACAAAATCTGTGAAATTCCGACAAACAACAAAGCAAGCCCTCAAGTCCCGACATGTGGGTAACTGAGGGACTGCCTTCGGCAGGGACATAAAAGCAACAACTCCTCACCAATTTCAGAGATCATGACGGGACAACATCAAAGGGCAAGCACAAATTACTCCTTTTCTCTCAAGTACCTTTCGGCAAAAGGAGTGAGGGACTCCTGATGGAGTATATGGCCCGGGAACCCCCGGCCCACAGACTCCTACTACTCCAGCAAAGGCCCAACAGGCCCAAAAGGCCCAACAGGCCCAAATCACAGCGCCCAGGGTACCAAGCAGCCCGCACTACGCGCCAGGGGTGCCTTCGGCCCCCCGGCCGAAGGCTCTAAATTCTCACAGAACGGGTTTCTCAAGCAAATTAAGAAACTGGGAGAAAACGGCGAAAACAGTAGCCCTCGGCACTATGAGCCCTCGGCACCAGGGTGCCATCGGGTGGAAGAGCCCTCGGCTACTGCTCTATAGCCGAAGGCATCTCACTCGACAAGATATCCGCCTCACATGCGTACAGATCATCGTGCCCCGCACAGACGTCCCATCCAACAGCCGCATTAAATGCGGCCACATGCGGCTGCCAGCGCCAACCAGTTGAGGTGACCCCTCGGCCAATGAGCGCTTGACACGTGTCCCTGCCCGACATTTATTGCTACTATAAATAGCACCCCATTTCCTCATTTGTAACCACGCTGAAAACGGCATTCATACTGAATACACTCTCTCTCTACTTTTACTTACTTGCTCTGACTTCTCTCTAAGTTATTCCCCGTAATAACCCTTCGGATATATACCCCCGGGTAGACTATCCATCAACTATTAAGATTATTCCCATCAATCATATGTTTCATTTGTAAATCCCTACATATTTAGAAATATGTAGCAGTAACTTAGTCATCCAATGTAATACACAAATAATCATTTATGTATCTACACTATTCACACATGAGTAAAAAATGCCTATTTCACACAATAGTTCATTTAACTCCATTTTTATCAATATGATTTCCAAATCATTTGCAATTTCATTACTCATCTAATATATCAATATTTCATCAATAATCAGTCATTATAATCCATGGAAAACATGATTTAGGCATTTGGGTAATCTCATGCTTAACCTACAAGTTGTAAGCAACTAGATGTCGATCCTCACCTTAAATGAGCTTTAAATTTCTCCTTCTTGATCCAACGGTCAAAGCTTCGGACAAGGTGGATTAAGAACTGATTACTTGCTTAAAAATAGGTGTTAAACAGCCTCTTCAAGGTGCTTGTTCAACTCCTAGCCGAAGACACGAAAACAGCCCCTAGAACGGGTGTTTTCCGGCGAATTCACTCCCTAACCTTTCAAGGTTTTGTCTAGGTTAGTATCTAACCTTTCCAACAAATAAGGTACTCTTATAATAACATTTTATACACTTGAAATAGTGTATAATATTTAAACCAATCGTTCATATCATTTGGAAAATGAAAAGAAAGGTTTTTGAAGTTAAAACTCACTTTGGAAAGGAAGATCCGATTCTGCGAGGTTGTGTTTTGTTCGGACAATTTGGAGGCCTTCCACAACTCCGTTTGATGCAAAACAGACCTTCACGGATTCCTCGTCTCTAGAGCTTTCCGTAGACACCTCAAACGCCTTATTTGGACAACTGGAGCTCAAGATACGAACCGGACAATACCTCCCTCTCCCTGCTCGAGTTTATGCGCAGCAGTTCACTCAAGCTCGGTTTTTATCTGAAACTATCCCTCTCTTCGCACATAAACCACCCAATACGTCAACTAGACTTTAAGGGCTATCCAGGGACACATTATACACCTCATTTGGCCGAGTAAAACTCCAGATATGGAGGGAGACAAATTACCCCCATGATTTGTGCGGAATTTGACAAGGTCGGTCTCCCCTTTAATTTCCATGTCTAAGTCCAGCCCCCAAAGTCAGATATGGCCGACCCCTAGGATTATTTTACATGTTATGAGAAGATTTTGAGCACACCTCAGTGTTCCCCAATTATTTTGGGAGCAAAATATCAAATAATACTTCCAATGATGGAAAGATGGGTCCTATTGTTCTATCTTTTGTCATAAGATGTATTTTGTACTCATTCCAATTTATTCAGATCAAGTTAACCTCCTACATCGTATTATTGGTCTCTAATATGTGTAGTGTGGTCCCAATAATTTATTTGATGTACAATTACAAAAGAAAACCCTACTCCCATTATTTAGCCTAATAATGCCAAAGATGGGACCATAGGCATTTGTATTCTTCTCAAATCATTCCGTCATTCATTTATGATGTTAATATATATATAAATATATATATATATATATGGGCTACCAATCGTGTGGGTCACCCTCCAATGGGTCTGGGATTCCATTCTTGAATAATTACTATTTTTAGCAGGTTAGGCGCAAAATAACATTTGGGCTGCCCGACCACTCTTACATTGTACCGATGGGCTGTATATCTTATTTAAGGATGTTGGGCCCCAATATCAATGATATGGCCCAATTAATTATTTAGAAGCCCGTTACCATTGTATGAGTCCAAATAGAAATATGATAAATCATACGTTCCGTAAAACTTTAATCGTTTTACAATTGTTCGAAAATAGGAGAATTCAATACATAAACTTTGAAATTAAATTTGAATTTCTAGGACGTTCAGGTGCGGTGTCACAAGTACTGTTTGGAGGAGGGCCAGGAGGGTCCCGTCGTCCGCGCCATCAACTTTAACAGCCTCTGTTCTCCAGCGTTCTAAGAAGTCCCGAAGGGTCTCCTCCTTCCTTTGCCTCACCGTCAGCAAGTGGGAGAAGTGTTTTCTTGTCCGGTGCCTTCCCTCAAATTGGGTCAAGAATCGTTGGGCGAGTTCTTGCCATGAGTCGATGCAGCCTTCGGGCAATCGATTGAACCATTCGTAAGCCGGCCCCTCTAATTGAACCAATCGATTGAATCGTAGGGCTTGATGAGTTGCCCTCGGTATTTTTCCAGGATCCGAGCCGCCAATACCCTTGGGGTAAATGGCGTCCAGGTTATCTTCTTCTGCATCTCCTCCATCTTGGCCAACATGGCCTCATACTTCTGGTCTGTATGAGGGGCAGAAGTGGTGGCGTGTGCTTTGGTGGCCTCCATCTCGTCAAGCCGGCGCTGGAGGGCCGCAATGATTTCGTCCCGGGGGTCCTTCGGGAGGGCCTCCGCCCCCTGCGAACGGACACGGGCCGAGTGGGCCTGGTTGATTTGGTGACGGGCGTCGTCGGCATGGAGAGGTGCCTTGCCTTTGTCCTGAGGGGGGCGTCTTTCATTAGCCCTGGAGACGGATCCGCCACTTTCCTGAGGCCTTTGGAGCACCTTCCCCCCGAGGCGGTCTTGGACCCCTCGGCGGTCTTGCGCCCCTCCGAGTCTCTCGAGGGCGGACGTCCGGGGTTGTTCTTTGTTCATGTTATGGCGGTCCCGGGATTGGACTTCCTGGGAGGCCGTATCTTGGGCCACGACCCCTCGACGTTCCCAATCCGAAGGACAGGGTTCCCGAGGGGGTGTGGATGAGGGGGAGGCATGATATTCTCCCCGACCTAAGGTTGGAGGGGGACCAAGGTGCCGAAGGCACCCGGGTACTGGGTGAGCGTCTGGATGAAGGCGGAAAACGCCGACTGTACATCGATAGTGATGACCGGAGGGCTAACCTGGTTCTCACTCCGGTCCTTCTTTTTGGCCTCGATGTCGAGGCGGGCATCGGGGGCATTTTGTTGAATCTGATGGCGTAGGTCAACAGCCGTCTGATTTAACCCGGCGATGGCGCCGCCCCCGGGAGCCTTGTTAGAGGCCTCGGGGACGTCGACTTCGCCGAGGGCCAGGTTCCTGTCCTCGACTTTTTTGGAGTTGGCACGAGTTGTTCTCACCATTTTCGCTAGGTGTTTTGTGTTTGGCGAGGGGAAGGGTTTCTTACTTGATTATTCGACCTCTCAGCGAGAGCACCAAATGATGGATAGTCTACCCGGGAGTATGTATCCGAAGGGTTACTGCGGGGAGTAACTAGAGAGAAGTCAGAGCAAAAGTAAGAGAGAGGGAGTATATTGCTAAGAATGTAGTGAGCGATTTTAGCTTGGATTACAAATGGGGAAAAGGGGCGCTATTTATAGTAGTAATGAATGTCAGATAGGGACACATGTCAAGCATCCAATGGCCGAGGGGTCACATCAACCGGTTGGCACTGGCAGTCGTATGTGGCCGCATTTAATGCGGCTGTTGGATGTGACATTGTACTTGGTACGGTAATTCAGGCGCATGTGGAGAGGATATTCTGTCGAGAAAGGTGCCCTCGGCTGCAGATGATTAGCCGAGGGCTCTAAGTACCGGGGACCTCCTTAGTGCCGAGGGTTCTAGGTGCCGAGGGCTACTGCTTTTCGCCGTTTTCTCCCAGTAACTTTATTTGCTTGAGTTGGCCATCCTGTGAGAATTTGGAGCCTTCGGCCAGGGGGCCGAAGGCACCCCCAGTGTACCACGTGGGTTGATCGGTACTTGGGGCGCTGTGATTTGGGCCCGTTGTCCTTCCTGGGCCTATTGGGTCTCCATTAGAATAGTAGGAGTCTATGGGTTGGGAGTTCCTGGGCCATATACTCCATAAGTTATGATATGACATCGGCAAGTGGGAACATGGGCATCCAAGTGGCAGGAAACAACAACTAGTTGGGTTCGGCCACGTCATCCCCCCACATACCCTTTTTTAGTATAAATAGAGACATTGATATCATTGTAAAGGGTTAGCATTTTTTCACTCACAAACTCTAATAGCATTCTAACTTTTGTATTAGCCTTTGGACCGTAACTCCCGTTCGGCCATTTCTGTGTAATTGTTATTACTGCGTTAATACAAGCTGAGTTATTTGAATCAGATTTTATTTTTTTATACACTTTACTGTAGCAAATCGCACCCTAGATCCAAGGTTGGTGTGGGCCTTCGAGTCATTCGGGACTAAACCTCAACAACTTCTATATTGGACAATTTCTGTTTTTCTTATTATTATGATTTAAAAAGTTAAACATTTCAATGCAAAAATACATAAATTTGGAGTTTTTTTTGTTTTTTAAAACATATTTTTGAAAAATATAACTAATAGATGTAAAAAGAATATTTAATTTGAACCTATTTAAGAAAAATTCTAAGTTTGAAAACATCAAACAATTAATATCTCATTTTTTCCTTTTATATATACCTTATTGGTGTCATATGAAAAATTATAAAATTTTAGAAAATTTGTTATATTTTTTTTCATAATAATTGAAATAAAAATAAAATAATCATACTCCCTCCGTCCCAATTTAATTTGCAAAATTTCCTATTTTGGTTGTCCAAAAATGATTTTCCACTTTCTACTTCAGGTATGTAAATAAGAATAAAGTGACAAATATACCCTTACTTTTATTTTTTCTTCATTAACTTAAAGGCATCTACTTTAAGTAAGATGGGCAAAAGTGTAAAAAGCAAGCATCATTTATTGTCATTCCGTAATCCTTGTGTCAGTCAAAGTTTGCAATTCAATTCGGGACAGAGGGAGTAACACTTTAAAGATAAAAGTTTTTTTTGAAATGGTGATACGAGGGCATTTAGTCCTCATCCTATTGAAATTGCTGCGGAATCAAATATATCTATTAATCCGTAATTAAAATTAAAATAAAAGTAAAGTACTCTGTATTTCTTTTTGAATGTACTGCTTCTTTAAAAAAAACTTATTGCTCCTTCATATGAATGAACGTACTGCGACGAAAGATACCGGGTAGTATTCGCATATCCCCTCTTCCTAAACTTCTGAAATCAGGTAGAGAAAGAAAAAAGCTAATACTGTTGACACGCGCTCGGCAAAAAAATACAGCCTAGGGTTTGAGCGAAAAAATGCAAAACTCTTGAAATATCTGTTAGAATTTTCCCGGCGAGTCAAGGGTTACGCCGGCTGATCTCCCATTGGCTCCACCATTTCCGCTCCTAATTATTCTAGTAACTGTGAAAACATATGCAAATCACGTTTTTTTTTGTTAATTTTGCTGAGTCAGCAAGTTTAGACTTCTTTCTCAACTCACACTTTCATCTTCACGGTGTCTAGCGGTTAACTTGCCAACTCAGCAAAAATGAATTGCAGACTACCTGCGTTGGAGGATGTATTACATAGGTAATGTCTAAATTGACGAGTTGGTATAATTTTTTAAGACTAGGCAGCCACACGTTGGAGATGCTCTCAGATAAGAGCATCCACAATGCCTCCAAGTCTAGTCTCAATTAAAAATGTCAAATGTCAAATAATTAAAAGGGTTTCTAATCCGCATAATAAAAAGTGGAATGATTGGATAGGGAAAAATGAAATAAAGCTCCAATGCATTTAGTCTTTCGATCCATGAGAACTGCCATTTGGAATTAAATATTTTAAAATTAAAGTAAAACTACCAATGTATTAAATTAAAATAAAACTGACATATGAAAACTACCCATTGTTACGTCTGTCTCCTGTTTTTTCGAAGATAGAGGCCATTTTGGTGTGATTGAGCAAGTTTAAAGGGATGTCTACACATACACATTTAGCTTCACATCGTTTAATTTTTTATTTTGTCATGTCACCTAATCTTATTGACACACTACATGCATTGGAGAAGAAAATAAGTAGTCTAAGTCTAATTTAATGACATGGCGCACTTTACATAGACTAAACATGGATGCATTGTGGATGCTCTAAGTGATGGCACGATAAAGTTTTCCTATAAAAATGGACATGTCATTTATGTAGAAGGCCTGTGAAGCTGACGTGGATGCGCACACATTTGAAAATTTTATTTA